TTATTTTTTTTCCAAAATCAGAATTATTTGAATACAGTAATGTCGAAAATAACTTTGCTAATTTGAGCTTTCGTGAAACTTTGTTCTCATAGTTTAAGGTGTTCTGAATTTGGTTAAAACGACTGGTAAAACGTTGTTGGCTTTCCTTTTCTTTTTTTTTTTAAAACCAAAAATTGCTTTTATACGCCTACGTATCAGTCAAAAATCGCTGCTTTTAGACAGCAAAAAACAAAAATTTGATAAAAACGAAAGTGTTAACAAGTTTTTTAAATTTTTAGTTTTTTTTTTGTACTTTATTTCATACTTTTTATTTTTTGCTTTACTTTTTTCTTGTTGTTGTTCTTGTTGTTCCTTTTACTGTGTACTTTGAATGTTGAACTGCTGTTGACAGCACTGTATCAAGACTTCCTTCTTTTTTTTTAACAGTCATTTTTTTTGTTGTCATCGTTTATCTAATGAATGTTTATACAGAAGTTAAAAATAATCACCAAAACCAAAAAATACAAGAGTATCAAAATGCAAAATAGAAAAAGAAAGAACAAAGTCAAAAAACCGACGGCCGCAGTTACTCCAAACGCTTTTGCAAATTTAAACAATCTAAATTGTAAAATTTTATAATCAAGAAGTAATTATCCATTTGAAAATCCAAGTTATGCCAAGTTGTATATATAAAGTTCACAAATCTTCTGGAAATTTTCAGAAAAATAGCTGTCGAGAAGATTGAAATACTTTTGACGATCTTCGCTTTTGAATAGCCTATACCATACTTATCAGCAAATGAAAATTTTACTAATTGTTGTAATTGAAGTTTTATTATGAACTATCTAAATGTATCCATAAATGTCCTGATGTATTAAATAACTGATTCAATCAAAAAAGAAACAACTGAAACTGACCGGGAATGAAGGTATTATAGGATCCTGGGCATCTGCATACAGTATGCATAACGTAACAGCAAGTAGAACTTTTAGGACCGCCATCACGAAGCTACTCTGGAAGCACTACAAAGTGCGGGGCGTTTTAAGTCTTTCCTGGCTGAGAACTCCATCACAAAACCTTTGGACTTTCTAGCCTCTAATTCAACTGTGAATAGGACATAGATTGTCTTGAAGCGTCAACGGTAATTAAAGTTTTAAACCTGTAATCAGTATTAGAATTTTACATTATCTCGTTAACAGTTTAGTATGATTCATAACAGTATTTTGATGTTCAAAATGTTACAGATTATAGACTTTGTTCACAAAATTCTTTTATTTATAGCTTATTGTGGCTCTTCATAGCTGCAATACTCAAAATTTTTTGAAACCCTATTTCACACAGACTTTATCACTTTTACAACCAAATATATTTTGATTTCTGCTTCAAGTCTTTTTTTTTTTACAGTCACTTTTGAACACAAATATTTACCTAAAGCTTTGATCTGTTCCCTTTTTTTAAAATGCAACAAAATGCTTAGTTCACTTTTAAGCCATTAAACGTCGGATATTATTACCGTTGCAGGCAACAAATTAATCTTTTACAAATTTAGCTACTAACCTGAATCAAAAATGCACAGTTTATACGTCACCAGAAATGCCAGAAAATTATGCAACAACAAAGTTTCTTTACTTTTATTTCTTTATTTTTACAGTCATTATATTTTTCTGGTCTTTATACAATAGCATACAATTACAAAATCAAAAAAGATTGTTGATTCACCGACTGTAAGAAGCACAAAGGAAAGCTGTTTTTGAACAGTAAATACAAAAATGGACAAAGACGAGATTGAAACCAATTAGTCACGTCGGTATCTTCATAAACAGATAATATTAGAATGTTGCGCAAATAACGATGACTAATATTATCTGGTTTATTTGTAACTGTTGCTGTCATATCAGCAGTACCCTAATGTCCAATTTTTTCCAACTGCTAATGCTTTAAGAATTATCTAGATTTGCTAACTTACGGATACGGTTTCAAGCTTTTCAGAAAAAAACTAAAAAATATATGGAATAAAAAAGACGTTGATTCTTTGCA